CTTTAATTTATAGGTAATAATGTTGAGTTTGATGCCGAGAACAACACTTGCAAAGTTCAGCTTTGTGAAAAGAAAAACCAAATTTTTTTTAAATTTTAAATCTTTAAAAATCTATGTTTCGTCATTACAGCGTCACAGAGCAACTGCACATAGGATAGGATTTGCTGTCCGCTTTACTCTGCCACTTTAGTCATTGGCTAACCCATCTTCCCATTTATCTTCACCATCGAAACAGCTAGCAGCTTCTCTAATCCATTCTTTTTTAAGGATATCAGTGAGATAAGATTTACCGGATGCGCATGTCAACAGAAGCAAGTGAATTTTGTTATTCCTCAATTAACATATTAGCAGTTGTAGGATTAGAAGCGATGGAGCCGCTACTTTACGATACGGTGTGATTCTATGGGGGCGATTAAAAGGAACAATTTTTACATATTGGGGTTTCATTATTGATGAATTCTTACCAGTGAATAAAAATTTTCTTCTATCTTCACAAATGCACTATAATTCAAAAAAAAAAAAAGATCTATCGTAAGCATATGACGACAGTCTTACACTTCTCCAACTCCATCCTTCACCACTTCCTTCCTTTTCCACTTTCTTCTCTTTTCCTGCAGTTCACATGCAGCAAAACAAATGCACACCTATGGCTGGTAGAACGCTGTACTGGTATTTCCTACTCCTGCCTGTGCGAACACTTTCCTGTTTTAGCAGTTGAGAGAAAAAACATAGACAAGTTGCTTTACATGCGTAAATTTACGTGTACTATAGAACACTAATAAACAATAATAAAACTACTCGAATGTCAATGCTATTACCTCGTTTTACACTGATATTGTTTGTGTACGCCTAGATGCCGGGTGCAGCTATGTCATTCGATCCCGGGTTGCAAACCTTCATTAGCACCCACGCCCTATACGTACGCAACTCTATGGAAGCTGTCCGAAAGGTCGCTCATATTACTGGAAGATCCACTCACTAATGTTCAAAGTCCACCGTTTGCGAGCAAGGCCAACAGCTTCCTCCAGCCGCTGAGAAAGCGCGATCAAAAATTTTAACACATATATTTGAGGTTTTGTATCGTTTTTGTAGCAGTTGGTAAGAGTGAATACTGAGGGCAGAAAGAAGTTAGTCAAATCTTTCATTCCTCAATTCATTTAGAGTACATGGCGAAATCGTTCCCCCTCAAACGGACCAAAATTTTCCCTTCGCTCTGCCACGCTTTTCAAGAAAATGAATTTTTATGCATCTCCAAAGATACAGTGTTTTCGTATTTCACCCCCTCTTCTCTGGTTCGACTAGAGCCTGCGTGTAATAAGCTGGGTTTGATGTGTTCTACACAGATGATCTTAAGTGCCAGCAGCATAATCTTATCATCCGAGAGCAATCTTAATTGTGAGTTCTTTGCTGTTCCCCTTCTTTTCTACTGCGGTAGCCATACTTTTTTACTTAGTCTCAAGAAGTAGTCAGATGGTCAGCAATATTAGTGGCATTGCATGCGCACACAGGGAGTTTTTGCTGATTTTTGTAGAGCGCCAGCGCTGTCACCAAAAAATGCATAAAAGTCTGCACCGAAGCATTTGTTTCCCTCTAAAGAATGAAATACAGACTGATTCCCCATATGTCTATTAAATTTGCGTTTGTAATTCCCTGCCTATCATTTCAGTATTCTCTTCCACCTATTTGCCCGCATTGTTTGTGTTTTCTCGCTTTCTAATGCGATGCGCATCGTAACATTTTCGTGCCTCATTTCATCACAGCATGATTTATATTCAATTGCCTTCCTTGGGGATTGCTTAGAAGGAGGCCAAGAGTGAATTTGACTTCCTGGCATGCATAAGTACCAATTTACTATCGAAATGAATGAATGAATCGTAGAGAGACTGTCTGTCACAATGACTGAATGAAACCTTTGATTTCAAGAAAGAAAGGCTCTTGCATGCCATTTATATGTACGAACAGAAACATACGGAATTAAGATAAGATTGCGGTAGCACTTTTCCCGGAAGACTGAAATGGGGACGTAGAGAGGCAAGTGCCAGAAATACCAAATAGTATACTTCTGCTACAGCAATCACGAATGTGTTATCTGGTGCTTGGGAATAAAGTTATTTTGGAGTGAAATGGAAGTGAATCGAAGCACGTGTCATTCTGGATATTCGGTCGGATTATATATCCCAGTGCAGGTACAACAGACCCGACACATGTCTAGCTCCTGTACTAAACTCCTGTGCACATATCTAGCTCCTGTATGGGAGCAATCCGGTAACAACACTAACATCGGATCTCCACATGGACTTCCGGACAGCCTCAGTCTTGGTATGGGAAAGCACGGTGTTTATGCGAAAATTAATAAAAACATTCTTCGTGGCTGGCAAAAGAATGAGGGAGGACGATGACGACAATGAATCACAAAAATATATGTACACGCAAAAAGACTCAGCAGCTAAAATTTGTGACATACTATTCTCGAAGTTCAGGAAGTTAATTGTACCACTATTTGGTACTTTAAAAGGATACATTCCGTTAAAATTACAGCCTCACAACTCTTCTGGTTTCGGAGTTTGCAATTTTCTAGCCAAAAACCTTCACGAGACCATACGTGAGAACCACGAAAAACTGAGGACTGAATTCGAAATCTTCAAGTTTTACATAGGCTGGGAATAAATTTCAGCTCCATAGCTTATCAGGTTCCTTAGTTAGCGATTTTTTCTCCAAAACTTCCACGTGCTTGTACGCGTGGCCTAGTCGTGCGCGAAGGTTTTTACCGTAAGCATAGTGTGGCATCTGGCAGGGGGAACCCATTGGCAAAATTTTTTGCTTGATTGTCGAGTTGAAGTACCTGAACAGACAGACAGACGCACACTCACAAACATACACACAAGCACACCATGTTTTGCGTCACAATATGTCTTTTTGCACTTGCATATACGCAACCCAGGCTGGAACCCACCAGGCTCTCCGGTGCGATCATGCGCTTTGCACTAAACTCGCAGATCGTTATTAGCAGGAATGATCCCTACGCTGTAGCCTAACACTTAGGCTAATATTGGCCATGTTTTGACCCTTACTAGCATGCAGGAGGAAGGGCATCATTGGGATGATTTTTTTGCATGAAGTCCGGTCGTTTTTTCGGTAAATGCTCGCTTTGTGAAAAAATGGCAAATGCAAATTTTTTGAAAAAATGCAAAATTCCAGTTCACTAAAAAGTGGAAATATTGCTCGAGCAGTCGTTTGTCAAAAATGCACGTTCATTTACATATACGATTGCGGTTAAGGTCCGAGCTGCGAACGTTTTTAAAATATGCAAATTTTCAGTTCATTGAAAAATTGAAAGCATTGCTCGAACGGCCGTTTTTCAAAAAATCCCCGTTCATTCGCATATAAAATTGCGGTTCAGGTGCGAGTTGCTAAAAATACACATTCATTTGCACATGCAATTGCGGTTCAGGTCCGAGTTGCTGACGATTTTTTGGTTCAGGAGCTGTTTGAAGGTGTGCTTAGTGAGCTAGAGAGCTGAGTTTAAAATCTTTGTCTCGTACGTGCACACAGAGTATCCCTGCAAAGTTTCAGCCTTCTACGTTGCCTTGTTCGCGAAATCGTCTCCCGCCAACAAATTTCTTTGGGGGTCCCGTGCGCGAGGTTTAGGCGCTTATGGGGAAAGATCTTAAAACGGGAGGATGACACACGGGGTAGGAACATATATC